AGTAATGAAAGGCTGTGTTATGTCATGCAGACTGTGGAAAGCCAGCTCCCAGACTGCTCCAGGGTAATAAAGAGAGAGCCTCAGTAGCAGGACTAGAAAAGATTCTTATCTGAGGGTTGCTAGACCTTTCTGTCTGTAAGGAAAACTAAACAAGCACACACTTAATGCTGGTAACCAAAGAAGAAAGGAACAGGCACACACTTTCCTGATGGTGACCTTCTCTTTATTTCAACTTAATCTCTTTCTTGGCAATCTCTCTTACATACACACATCTCTCTCCTGCCCAGTTACATATGTCAATATTCAGCTACAACATGCTGTTCCATGTACCTCTTTACATACACACCCGCACTGACTCTCACACTCATTCCACTCTCACACATACTTCTATAAATCATTCGTTCGTTCTTTGCTCACTCACTCTTTCACCCACTCTTTTCCTCACGCTTCTTCACGCTCCGTCTTCCTCTGTCACTCAGCGCACACACACACACACACACACACACACACACACACACACACCCTCCATATTCTGCAGCGGCTCTCACATCGTTCTACACAGCTGTCTCTCTCCACACCAATGCTGGTGCTGCCTCAGCTTCTCTCACAGCCAAACTCTGGACAATTATGTGTTACATTTTCAGGGCCCGATCTAATCTCACAACACATGTTAAGTCACGTAGTTTCTCTCAGGCTAGGAATGTCACAATGACCCATGCACGTAGCTCTTTCCCAGACAGAAAATGACATTGGAAATCAAGACTTAACAATTAATTAGCTGCACCTTGAGTGGTAGGGAGTATGGGCAGACTAAAGTTGCTTCAAGCTCTGACCTTGAATCAATAAAACAACACCTGGGAAAATGACCTGGTGAATTTGTCTCTAGGAGCAACCAGACTTCTTTGAATCTGCCATGTGTAAATTAGCTGTCTGTGTAAAAGAGCTGTCTTTGTGACTGAGAATCCTATGTCCATCTTCCTGGTCATCTTATGGTCATCTTCCTGACTTTCCACAGCTATGTGTGTGCCCAAGTATAAAACACACCACAAAAGGGCTGTGGAAAGAACCCCACAGATGTTCTTATTAGGGAGGTATTGCAGGGGCACCCAAGAAAGTTACGGAACAACGAGTCATCCAGTCAATAACCCTGCTGCTTTGCCAAGTGAGACTCCCCAAGTGAGTCAACTTGTTAAACACTAGTTGTCATTGCTGTACAGTTCCACGGCCCTCTGTGGTTATGCAATCCTTAAGTCTCTTCGGAGCTCAGAAATTCCTAAATGCTGAATCTTCCAGAGACCTTGCCATATCCCAGGGATGTTCCTAACCCAGAAGCACAATGCAAACTTGTAAATTAAACGCACAGGTCCCTAAGCAGAGGTATGATTCTTCCTGATTTTTCTCTCTCATCTGTATTCAAAGCTGGCCTTGTGTCCTGGCCACCGCCGGCTTAACTTCTCTCATTTACCACTTAAAACTATTGGTCAGAACCTCAGCTGATATTTGGATTTCTAGGAAAGAGGGCCCTGAGAAACCTTCTCCTGATGTCACTTTCATATCTGGGCATCTCATAAGAGATTGTGCTTTAAAGATAGAGGAATGCAAGGATAGCTCGCAGACTCACTCCCAGCAAGGCAGGATGTGATGCCAGTGGCCTTTAACCTCTTCAAGCAGCCCCTTTGCTGTTGCCTCTCTCCTAGCTGGGTCCCATACTCAGTCTGGTCAGAATGGACTGCATTGTCATGTCCCCTGCAAACCTGCCCTCCTCCCTTGCTCTCTACTTCAAAGCCCCTGTAAGGATCATCCCTGCCCTCCCTAGCATCTGAATTCTTCCTATTTGAAGGAAATTCTAGTTTCAGGATATTCCCACTTTTGCCTGCAGTGCCTGGGAGTATGCATATAACAGGGCATGAAGGTTCAGACTGCAGCTACAGGACTTCAGTTCCTGAGCGTGGCACCAAGGCTAGTGAGCATTCGTGCAGCACAGGAGGGTGGATGCTATGGTTGTTCTTTTGCACTTGGTGGGCAGGGTCTTACCTTAGTATGTGGACCAGGCTGGCCTCAGACTCTGAGATCCATCCATCTCTGTCCCCTGATTGCTGGGATCAAAGGTGTGAGCCACCACTCCCAGGCCATTATGACTGTTCTTGTGGAGTGACCCTATTCCAGCCTCTCTTGGTTTCTGTGTTTCTCCTGAGTTTGCTTTTCCAGCCTTCCCATTGACCTGGTGAGATCTGATACTTACACAGCAGGTAAACCCCTTTCCTTCCTTGAGATCCAGAGTCTGTGTTCACTGTTTGCAAGTCCTACCCATCCTTCCACCCCCCAGTTGGTGGGGCCTGGGGGCTGGGAGGCCTTCCTGATTGTCCCTGTAACATTCACACCACTGTCCCTAAGACCCAGTGGTTCTGCCTGTCACCCACGATCACACCAAACAGGCCTGGATTACACACATCTGTATTCCTGCTGTTCCATTGGTGGGTTCTCTGGCCCTTGGTGAAGCTTCAAAATCCAGGGCAGACTACTGTCCACTTTATGGGTAGAGAAGGAAATGGAGAAAACTGGCGGGCAGAAAGTTGCGTGAGTCTGAGAGGAGGGACGAGAGAAGGCAGGTGTGTGACACTGGTGCGCCTCAAGTACTCCCATGAGGCCTTGCAACTGCACCAGCTTCTCCACTGGTGCCACTGATCCTTATTTTTCTATGCTCAGATCAATGGAAACATATTAATTAGCCTTTAAATGGGAATAAATTAACTTAAGAAGATGCGGTTTTATCTTGCTTTTATGGCAGCCAAGTTCCCGGAGGATGCGTTAATTGATTTGAAATCCAAATCAGCCTAATGCACTTGGGCACTTTGCCCAGTGGGAGTTAGCAGTGACTCCTGTAAAGGAAACGGCTTTATGCCAACTGGTTTTACACATTTTTATCACTGCGGATGAGGTAAGTGCAATTATGGGTGGAGAAAGTCCATTAGCACCACATCCTTGGTGCAGTTAGTAAATATTTATTGAGCATCTACTTTATTCAAACACTGTGCGAAGTACCACTGCGCAAGGCTGGATGACTCATATCTGGCCCTGAGCACCCTGAAATCTTACTGGAGGCTTTCTAGAGTGTCCCCATCCTGCCTGGCTGGAGCTGACTCTCACAGGTGACCTACAGGAACCAGATAGTGGGATATCAATGTGCTTCATGGAAATACTGGGAGATGGAGTGACGACAGCCACAAAAGGGTTCTCTTCCATCTCTCCAAGATGTTGCTTCATGAAGACACAGCGTTTCAAGTTTTCAAACCATCGTCATACAAAGCAGAAAATGATTAGATAGCAAAGGAACTATGAAGAAGAGGAACTCAGAGGAAGAGACCGCATTTACGTTGGTGGGTGGGAGTCCTGCAGGAACCCTGAGAGAGGTGGCAGTCACAATCGACAGGATTCATGACACATAAGTAAAAAGGTCACTGTGTCCCCACAGCACTGGTGTGTATCTCTGAGACCCTTCAGAATTTGGATGTCACTACAGAGCTCCCAGCAGCCCCAAGAAAAACTGCCGTTGACTTCCCAGATGAAAGTTTGGGCTAGTCATGACCCAAGAGAGAGCCCAAAACTGTAATAGAAACATTTCAGAAAGGGCATGTCAGGTGGGGCAAATGGCATTTACTGCATCATTAAAGGTAGCTGTGTGTTTAGAGATGCAGCTAGATGCTGGGGCTTGTGGCAGGTGAATAGAATAGCCAACCCAGAGGTCTATCAGGGGGAGGGTAAGGGTACACTTGGCATCTCTGGGCATTCTCACTTCTATTTGAAAGCTGGGACACCTGTTCTTGCTGGAAGCAGGCTTCCTTTCAAGGGCCTGCCTGGGCACAGTAGCTGCTCCTGAACCTTGGTAGACACTGCGCTAATGAAGGAATACCAATCACATTCACCGTCAATATTTAGCCACCTGAATTTTGAGCAGATAACATTTCAGAGCCTGCTTTATGCTTGCCTGCATTAAGTGAGGCCAAAGAAAGACGTCTCATTCATCGCCTCTATGTGAACAAGGGTAAGCGCTTTGCAGAATGCAAACATTCACAGAGCAATAGCTGAGCCCAGCCCTGATAACACCCTGAAGGTAGCTGGAGAAAAACACCCTGCTTGGATTGCCTGTTGGCTGAGCAAGTAGCTAAGAGAACCTTCTCTTGGGACTGGTGCAGGGGCTCTTTGGCACGTGATAATGCCATGGGAATGGCTCAAGAGGCAGAAATGGTACTCAGAGACGCCCAGAACTGAGGGCTCTGGAGACAGAATAGCTGATAGTTAATTAATGCTCCCCAGCAAGTCAGACAGACGGCTCCAGCTGCCTCCAAGCTGGTCTATTAGCAGGGTTAGGCTCCTCTTGCAGGCCCCAGCTCAGTGTGGTGCTGTCAGGAAATGTTTTTGAGAAATTAAAGTGACATCGCTAAGTGGGTACACACACCAGGAGCGAGTCAGCCTGCCTCTTCCCTCCTCCTGCTCTGGGGGAGTAATGCATGACAGTGTGCCTGTGTTTCTGCAGGAACTTAACCAAAGCTAGCTACCAGATAGAGCCAGCCTGCCTGAATACCATTTCAAGTCAGGCAGGAGCAGCTCCCAGACCCTCCTGGGTTCACTGACCTGTGGAATCTGCCCCTTAGACTCTTCTGGACCCTGGGAGAAAAAGAAAGCCCGAGCTTTTACCTCCACTTATTTCTCCTGGCAGGGGCTCTCCCAGCTCTCCCAGTCTCTCCCACCTGCCTGCCCGAGTGCTATACACCTTTCTGAGCCCTCTTCCTTTAAGGTCTGAACCTCCCCACAGTTTCACCTTCCCTGGGCCTCCATTATTAACTCTAGCAAGCCACAGCTGTGAGTGGAGTGACATTGTTTTCGTCAGATACTGTTGTCCACTGCAAGAGCAAAACACCTCCCCTTCCCTTCCTACCAGGAGGCTTCACTGGAAACCACAGGAAGGGGTGTGGTGGCTGTGGCTGCCCAGCTGAGAGCTGGATTGGGGGAAATCAGGAAGTCCAGGCTCCCTTCCAAAGCAAATTGGAAAGATCCGCAGCAGCCAGGGCCGTAAGACAAACAAGAGTCCCCAAATGCAAGAGTAGCAGAGGATGTTTCCTTTCTATGAAAAGGTAAAACTTTTGTTTTGAAGCACAATCCTACCAGTGAGGACAGATCATTTTACTGGTTATTATACTGCATGGGAAGAATCAAAGACAGAGGTCAGGAGGTGAAAGCCTCCGTCCTTCTCCCTGACCCCACAGACCCACTTATCAGAGGTAAAGTGTGAACAGTGTCTGGGGCCAGCTAGGATTGGAAGAGTGAAACTGCACATTTGACAAAACTCAGTAGTGTTTGGGATGGCAAAGGAGTGTGTGTGTGTGTGTGTGTGTGTGTGTGTGTGTGTGTGTCCACATGTGAACTCATAGATTACACACCGGTATGTGTGTGAGGGTAAACCTGAGCCATAGTTTATTAATACAGACTCATCCATTAACCACCTATGCTCAGATTCTAGCCCCTTTCCTTCTGTGTGCTAAGTCTCTAACAGTTTATTCGATTTTGTTTCCTCAACTGTATCATTTGTATGGTATGATACTTATCTCTCTGTGCAGATGTTTTCCAGTTCATGAAACATCTGTAAACACACAAAGGGTTAGTATTCTGTGCACACAAGCCTATTAGTCCACCTCCTTCTAGAACTAATGGCGACGACTGTATGCCTCGTGCATATTGAACCACTGTGTAGTTTGTGATACACACTGCAGCCCTTGGGGGTGTAGTATCCTCTAAACAGACACAGAAACTAACATGTGGAGATTTGCTCAAGGGCCTAGATGCTGGAAGCAGTAGAGCTGGGTGGGAATACTACCTGCAATGCTTCTTCAGGCTCTAGGACAGTGGTTTTTAACCTGTGGGTCATGGCCCCTTTGGAAGAGGGGTGGTCAAACAAACCCTTTCACAGGGGTCACCTAAGACCATCAGAAAACACAGGTATTTGCATTATGATTCATAATAGTAGCAAAATTATAGTTATGAAGTAGCAATGAAAATAATTTTATGGTCAGGGGTCACCCCACCGTGAGGAACTGTATTAATGAATCATAGCATTAGGAAGGTAGAGAACCAATGGCCTAGAAGCTGGAGGCAGTGAATAGGGGTACAAACACACCTGCAATGCTTCCCCAGGTTCCAGGGAGGGCTGAGCCCATGGCATCCGGCACAGGAGACTCTCACAGACCCTAATGCCTTCCCCTACTCCTTAGGATTTTGAGGTGGCCACAGAGACAGTAAGCCACCTTCTTGCCCAGGCCCCTCTCCCCTGCTTTGAGATGGCACAGTTTCAATCCATCTGTCTGACCATTGTACTTTAAATGTTGTATCACTCTTCTTGACAATGACATGATGCCTGTACACAGTGTAGGAAATAGAATAAGAAGAAAACAAGACTCAACAGCAGGTAGACATGTTTTCAGCTTTCTTGGAGTTTCCCAAGTAAAGTCACCACTAACAAAACTCTTGAGCTGGGGACTACCCTCAGGCCCCAGCTTTAGGCAATAGCCATCAAGCATAGGAAAGACCAAAATTCAAGCGTTGTTGGTGACAAGGATGGTTTAACCTGCATGTGAATTTTGTCATTAGACAACAGTGGGACATCGTAGTTTTAAAGGCTGCATTTTAATTTTAAAATCAAGTTGAAACCCCCTATCCTTTGGGCAGAATCCAACAAAGCTCTCGGAAAATTGGGCTTGGCCCCTGCGTCTGGAAATGCCTCTGCCTCGGTTCTCTTTGATGCTGTTATCAGTGGATTCTGCTATCAAGAAGACAAGCTTGCTCTAGGGTTTCAGCAAATGCCACCATGTGTGCGTCACAGAAGCCACAGAGCAGTAGAAAGACAGAGGCAGGTAGGCTGCAGCTGCAGTGCCAGGCATCACAGAGTGCCAGTGTGGCTGTGTGTGCTCAGCCTGTGGGAGTGACACCCCCTAAGATGTCACTTAGGGGAGAAAGAGGCTGGGGAGGCTGAGCACTCAGCCTTGCAGGACCATAGGGGTTTTACAGCCTATTAGGCAGCAAAATGGCTACATGGAAGGAGGTTTGGCAAGTAGGTAGGTGTAGCTGGAACACAGAACTGGATGTCTTCGGGTGGTGTGGACAGTGAGGGTGGGAGGAGATGACAGAAGCTACAGATGTGGCAGGAGGGAGGGGTCTGAGTCAATGTGTGCAAGAGCTGTGTGATGTGCAGGAGCTGTGTGATGTGCCAGGGGCTGGGACATTTGTTTTGTGCTGATTTATTCTTTCTAGGGCTTTGCCCCTACCTGGTCCTGTGTGAGGGCTAGTAAGCTCAGCACCAGTGGGAAGCAGAGGGATGGACACAGCCTCACAACATCCAGTGGCAAGAGCTAGGCTTTGAGTAGAAAAATAAAGCAATGTAGCTTGAGAGATGGGGAGGCAGGGCCGTGTCACATTCTTATTACCCTTCCTTCAGGGGTTCTCTGCAAAGTTCTCACCATTCTCTTACGTGTCAGTCTCCAGCCAAGACATTCATGCATATTCACACACACACACACACACACACACACACACACACACAGAGAGAGAGAGAGAGAGAGAGACAGAGACAGAGACAGAGAGACAGAGACAGAGAGAGACAAAGACAGAGAGACAGAGACAAAGAGACAGAGACAGAGACAGAGACAGACAAACAGGCAGACAGAGACAGAGAGAGAGAGTCTACTGGTTTACTGTTACTTCCCAAGAGTTTTAATATGGGAAGGTGGGACAGCAGACAAGGGCACCAGAGCAGGAAGTGACAACACAGAACAGGGAAGTGGGGCCCTAAAGCAAGCTTTGACTTTCAGCTTTCAGAAGATTTTCTTCTCTCTGACTTGAGGACCATGGAAACGGAAGGCCAGTGCTTGCTTTGGTGATAGTTATTTGTGCTTTTCTCGGGTGGTCTTAACCATCTGGGTTCCATTGAGGTAAGGAATGTCCTCAGCAGCTCTAAGAGCCCTAGTGTTCCCAGAGTCCCCTAAATGGATCACAGGGCAAGGGAGGGCCATGCTGGGCCTTATTTCCCTGCCTGGTGTCCCTTACCCTCTACCACTTAGAAGGGAGCTAGGAAGTCCCAGAAACAGCTGATCCTGCACTGTGTGGTAGCCTCAGAGCATCTGGCCCTGGGCTGTGAGCTGCTCAACCTGCTGGGATTGGGAGATGATGAAGGACAGGCCTGTCAAGGGAGGAGACAACCAGTGACTGTCAGTGCCTTTGTATTGGCCTCTGGCTTCTGTGGCTGGAAACAGCCCTGTTCTCACTGATCCTGGCTGTTAGAGGGCCATGTGGTAATGGATGAGGAGTGGGCAATGACATTCACTTTTTAGCAGGCAGGAGAGGGGAAGGACCTGAGGACCAGGCAGCCTGATTTGTCTCTGCTTACTTCTGAGTCTCTAAAGTCAGATTTATTCCTAGAACATTCAAAAGATACAGATAGGTGGAAGAAAAGGGGTTCTGCCTTCTGTGGCCATCACCAGTCAAGTGCCAGGGCCCATGTTTTCAGACCAGTTGGAACCACCAGTTTAGAACTCTGAGCACTTTACCAACAAACGCTCTCTTAGTCTCCCTGACCACTAGTCTGTCCAGTCTTAGGAAAAAGAGTGGAGGCAGCTTTGAGCCCAGCAGTGCATGGCTGGGCCAAGGATCTCCCCGGATCGGCTACTGTGCCGGGAGTATGGTTTGAGTGCCTCTCACAGTTTGGTGTGGTGAAGAATTGAACAGATGACAATACAATCCATTGTTTGCAGAGGTGGGGCCTTTAGCAAGTTATTAGAAATAAATAAGGTCATGGGCAGGGCCTGATTAGGAATCCTAGTGGCTTTATAAGAAGAGAAACAGGTCAGATATGCACCATACTTATAAGGGCCCTAGACCTTATATTTTAGCTATAACTGTGACAGAAATAAACCTCTTTTCCTTATAAAATAGACTGCTTCTGATATTTTGTTATAGTAGTAAGTCAATGAATTAGTATCAAATACCCAAGGATTTCCTGTCTTACTAGAACCCAAGAATACAACCAATGAATGAGTTTGGTGAGTTTGGTATGGCACTCTGGTTTTCCTTGGGAGCCCCACACTTCTATCCAAACTTGATATGAAATGTGAAGATACATATCACCCCCCTCATGTCTTTTACCAGCCTCTGCTGGAGTTACTTGCAGGTAGATGGGTCATTTCTATCCTAGGAAATGTTCTAGTTTCCAAATGAGGACCATGTTGACTTCAGCTCTTGATCATAGTGCCCTGGTGCATTACGGGAGCTTAGATGGTAAAAGGGCACAGGTGTTGCAGCTTAAAGACTCACGTCAAATGGTCCTCCAATAGCAAGAGGTCAGTCCTGAGGTCATGTTCATACAGGTAATGCTACAGGGACTGAGCAGGTTGTATTTGTGTATTAAGGAGTGTGTGTGTGTGTGTGTGTGTGTGTGTGTGTGTGTGTGTGTGAGAGAGAGAGAGAGAGAGAGAGAGAGAGAGAGAGAGAGAGAGGGCCATGAACTTGAGAGTGAGGAAGGAGGTACATGGGAGAGGTTAGAGGGAAAGGGAAATAATGTAATTATACAAGAAATAAAAAAGTTATTGCATAAAAGATACCCAGTCTACCTGTTTGTTCCTCGTATGGCTAAGAAACCCAGGGTAGTGGTCATGTGCCCCGTCACATGTGTGTCCTGCAGCTTAGGGTGGCATTGTAGATGTGCCTGGCTCCCTGCAATGAGTCTATTCCTCCCAACATTGGGAACTAAGAGTATCTAGGATCAGATCTGGGTCAGACTCCAACTGGGCATGTCACTTAGCTGTGACAAGTTTCAGCTTTGAGGAGTGGAATCATGGGTAACTTTTATTCAAATGCATTCAAGAAAAACATTAGGCTAAATGTGGGGCATAGGAGCCAGGCTCAGCATGAGCTCTATCAGAGGCAAGGGCTGCTGAGAAAGTGGCTGTGCTTGTCTTAGTAGAGCTATAGCATCCACTATTCCAGAAAATGTCCCACAGACTTGTCTACAGGCCAATTTGATGGAGGCATTTTCTCAATTGACGTTCCCCTTCTCAGATAACTCTAGCTTGTGTCAAGTTGACAGAAAGCAACCAGGACAGCTCTTAAGAGAGAATAAAATGAAATGGGTGCAGTTTTCATAGTTTAAATTTGCTTTGTAAGTCTCTGGTTTCCAATTACCCTGTTCACAGACAAAACAAAATACATCACTCACCTGCCACTTGGCATAGGTGTCCTCACCAACGATCCAATATTTGGTGTAGGGTAGTCTCAAAGGCAAACATGTAAAAACGTTTAGTAGCGCACGGCCACCATGTGTCATGGATGACAGTAATGGGTCATTAATAAGCCAGTTAACAACTCAGAGCCTCCGGTTCATTCTGTAAACTAGCAACAGTTCAAGTGTCTGCTCTATAGGGGCGTGCTGGTTAAGGGCAACAGGAAAGGAGAACGCAGTAAGTGCCCAACGAGTTGTGACTTGAGCTGTGTTGCTGACTGTCTGTTACCCTCTCCCCGAAAAGCCCATCAGAGATTCAGTTCTTGGGGTTAACAGAGCATTAACTCCACAGGGAACACCCTGGTTGCCTTGCTTAGTTGAGAAGAGCGAACTGTCCTGCATGTAGTTACTTCTCATCGTGTTAGACCAATGGCCTTCAGGCTGTGCCTCTCCCTGAGTGATTTCATTTCTCAAAGCAACAGCGCATACTGTTTGGAGTATAAGCACTGGGTCAAAGGGACTTGGTAATGTCCCTGGACAAGGAGGTAACTACTGGGTGCTGGACACCCAGAATTTATTGGAATAAAACCCCATCTGTCCGGCACAAACTGTAAGGTACAGACTGATGCATAATTTATTGAAGCAAATTAAAATGACTGCCTATTGATTTATTAAATTAAGCCAGGAAGACACGGGCACATGAGTACAACAAAACTACGTCAGAGAACCTAGGCCTGTGAGCTTGGCAAAGACTCAACAGTGAAGGATGCTGTCACCTCTCCAGGACCATGGGACGGAGTGGCACCTAAGCGGGGTGTGAAGACACCTGCAGACTGCCAGCCTGTCTTCCGGTAAATTCATCATGGAATCACAGGCAAGGAACTCTTCCTTTTGTCCCCGGAGCTTCAGTGCAGAGTGACAGCCCCCTTCACTACCCACTGGAAGAGAGATTTGGAGGAGGGTAACTCTATGCCTTGAACCAGCCCTGCCTCAGCAGCTCACCTCTGAGGAGCTCAGGGACTGGTTCATTAACACCTTTTCTAGCCATCAACAGGGATGCTCTTTGGTCCCGTCAGCTCTTTGCTTTCCCCTTCACTTAGACCCCCTTTATCAACACTGAAGTCTCTGTAATCTCTTCTTAGCCATTCTATAGTCTATTATTGTTTTGTGAAATGTAATATGGATGTGGCCTGAGAATTATTAATATTGGTAACTGAGATTGGGACAGAATAAAAGAATCTGTGCTTAAGGATGATCATGAGGACCAAATGAAAACAAGAAAATCAGGCCGGGTGTTGGTGGCGCATGCCTTTAATCCCAGCACTCGGGAGGCAGAGGCAGGCGGATCTCTGTGAGTTCAAGGCCAGCCTGGTCTCCAGAGCGAGTGCCAGGATAGGCTCCAAAGCTACACAGAGAAACCCTGTCTTAAAAAACCAAACCAACCAACCAACCAAACAAACAAACAAGAAAATCTATTGGCTTAAAGCTCAGGAAAAATCTATACAACTTATGAATTTATTATTGTTCAATGCATTTTGCCACCATAGAAAGACAGCCATATCTGACTATGTTTCTTACATAGCTCATTCAGAGTATCAGTTTAACAATGCTGAATAGAGAACTAAGAGATTAGAGCAACAGCTCTGTGGTTAAGAGCACTGGCTGCACTTCAGAGGACCCAGGTTCTACTCTCAGTGCCCACAGGTGCTGCGCAACTGTAACTCCAGTTCCTGGGGAACCTGTCTCCCTCTTCTGGTCTGTGGGGGTACTGCACACATGCAGTACACAGTTACATGTGCAGATAAGACACCCATACACATAAAAATAAAAAACAATAAATCTTTTTTAAAAAATGATTTACAAAGAAAAGTAAGTGAGTATGTCGAAAGAGCTCAAAGGAGCAGTTTCTGCATCTGCAGATTTGGGGCCCTCAGGGGGCTCCAGTGAGATCGCAAATGAGCCTAAGAGGTGAAGACAGCAGATCTAAGGGTGCTGCCACTCCCTTCTATGACAGCAAGTGCCTCCCCCCTCTTCCCTCCTAGCATCCCCATCATGGTGCCCACAGATCCAGTGGGAGAAGCAGGGAGGTCCACAGTTTCAGGCCACACGAAGGTGCACGTGTCAGGATTATCTATAAGGTAATTATCTATAATAAGGTAAAGGAATCCTTATTATCCCTTCCATGCGGATTTATCACCAGTGCCAGCCAGGCCAGGCTCTATTGAAGAGGGAAGGTGGACTCCACTCCAAGGCTTTGATTTACTCCAGCTTTATTCTTGATTTCTGACAGTTGTGCTCACACCCGCTGCCTTGCTCTGCCTCCTCCATGCCCCAGCTTCTCCTGCTGTCCCTTTACCTTACCGTTAATTAAGCTCAGAGCACTGATCCAGAACACAAAGCCTGACCTGACGAACAAGAAGCCCTCTGTGACTCCTTCCTCCCTGGTTGATGCTCTGTCTCTGTCCACTAACACTGTGGATACTTACCGTCTGCCTGGCACCTTGGCTGGTGCTGGGGACAGAAGTGGTGCCTTGGTTGCCCTTGGCTCCTACTCATTCATAATTACTGAATAAGAGCTCTGTGACCTTAGGTAAGTCCCCTGTCTAGATCGGTGTGCTTCTTCCCACCCTTGTCTCTGGCAGCTAGGCATTCTCCACACTGGGATCTCTTGTGGTCAAGCTGGCAGCTGAAGCCTGAATGCCAGAATGGAAACATCAGTTGTAGTGATAGCTCAAGGACCATCAGACTCACGCCACTCCTCCCGTACAACTATGTACAACTATAAAATACCACTTCCTCGGGTCCAATTTATTTGTTTTCTATTTTTATAGCCATTCCAAAAGCAAACCCTAGACATTTGCATAATAGACATGTAAAAGTTCACTAGGCGAAGCCTCAAACCACCTCTCAGTCAGTGGTGAAACCAGCTTCTCCCTCACCAAACCATAGGAGCCAGCCCTGCAGGAGAGCTTGGCCCAGCCAGTCACCAGGGGCACAGGCAGCCGGTGGGGTAGTCTGTTCCAGGGCAGCACCCTCAACAAGAACCCAGCACACACAAGCTGCCTTGGCAGCCAGCATGAGAAGCCTTCCAAAGACCACATTCTCCCAATGCAGACCCTGGACAGGAGCCAGACCTGTCTTCTGCAGGACAGCACAGCCATAGGTCACTCCAGGAAGCCCATCTGGAGCCGCTGAGACAATGGGAGGAGTTCTCTAGGCTTGTCTTAAACCTGTGTTTGCAGAGCATACACACTGATTTCATTTATATGATGTGCTATAAATCAATAAAAAGCAATCTTCCATAAAGATGCATGTATTCACACTTTATACAAGAGAAAGGGAACAGAATGTCCGTGCCATTGTGTTGGATGACTGAGCAGGTGGAGATGGGTGGTGATTCCATAAAGGCCACCCTAGTGGGAGGGGACCTGGTGAGGGTCCCGGAGATGGCTCACAGTCCCCCAAAGTGATAGTGCGAACTTGGGTACATCTCACACCACTCTCAACTTGAATTTCCTGATCTGTAAAGTCAAACGGATGTTCCCATCACTACTCAAATCAAATAAGCCCACAGGGATGAATGCCTTTTGTGAAGAGGGAATCATGCAGATGTAGGCCACAGTGGCCACTGTGATCTGTTACCCGAAGGGGACTAACCATGCAGTAAAGTTGCCCCCAGTCCCCATCTGAGGCCACTTCCTGTTTTTCTCTACTTCCGCTTTCCTTAGTCAAGACCCAGAGTTGGCACCTGGCAGCCTGCTGGGTTGACCTAGCAGTACTTTGCCAGTTCATGACCTCAGATGTCCCTTGGAAGCTGTTGTGCTAAATCTAGTCTGTTCTGACTCCTCTTTGACAGGAATGTTAGTTTGTACGTGTCCTGTGAATAGTGAGGCTGGATGGGAGGGTGGGACTGGGCTTCCTTATAGCTCTGAGCTGTGGCTCTGGCTACAGAGTTCAAGTCTCACAGGGCCCGACTTGGACACACCCAACAGCCTGGGGCCATAACTTCAGAGCTGTCCAATGGCTTAGGGTGTTTGCTGTTACAAAGAATCTTCTTCCCCTGTGGCACATGTCTTGGCCTTCTGTCCTGTCCCCACTGCTGATTGCTGAAATGTTTTCTTGAGATGGCTGCCAGAAATAACTAATGAAAGCCAGCTCATTTAA